TGACAGGGACCCCAGTTTATGTTGCTGTTGAAGGCCTGCTTAGTTGGGTGCAAATATCAAACACTTTCTTCGGGGCACTTGGAAATAAAAGCCAAGGCATAGGTGATTCATCCAGGGGCCATACAGCATGTGGCTTCAGACTGTTACTTAATGTGAGTGGGGAGTGGAAAGGTGATTGGGGAAGCGAGATGGGTTAGACAGGAAAATGTGGATTGGAAAGTAACGAGACTCTTTGGGACATGGGTCTTATGGAGTAAGAGACATGAATGTGAATTTCTAGAAGTGGATTCGTGTTTGACAGAGGTGCATGAGTGGTTGTAAAGAGATGGTCAGAAAGGATGGGGGCCTCCATGCGAAAAGCATCCTCCGTGACTGATGAACCTGATTCCCAGCGTAAAAGTCAGGAAACTCCTGTGACCAGAGGAAAAGGAAAGATCCTGAGCTGACTGATCCAGCTTAAGAACTCATGGAGTCACGGACAGTAGAACCATTCTGATCCTTCTTCCATTCTTCTCTTTGGGCATCTGTCACACCCTTCCCACATGTGTGGCCGGTTGGCACTACCAGTGCACCCAGGTTGTCAGCCTAAAGGCCCACTCTCCAAAGCACAGAGTTTCTTTGGGGATAGCAAGGGACTGCAAGGCAGGATGCTCGGACTGTGGCAAAACTTGGGGCACATCCAGAGTGGGCTGGGGCAGAGAGGAAGAGAAAAGAGAGAAAGAGAACGAGCCACATTTCTCTGTGGTCATGTTCTGAGAATTCCCAGCTTCTTGGGTGGCCACCAGTATGCAAAGGCCTCCAACAGGCAGACATCAGTCCTCTCCTGGGAGAACAGGATTTACTGTACAAAAGAACTGATGGTGGGCTTAAAGGTGTTTAATTATTCAGTTCTGATCTCTCCCTTTCAATCTTGCTAAAGAAGTCTCTAACGCTTCAGTACAAACTATTATGACTATCTATAACTTGATCTTCTCACAGGTACAATAAACAGTTTCAGATAAGGAGTGAAAAAAATGATTGATAGAGTACTGGCTACAAACAGGAGAAAACCAAAAACCTGCTCTCGCAGTGAACACAAGGGAGTTCTTCAAGAATATTTTGGTTACAGTCTTGACCTTTCATCTCCTTATAAAATTTTAGGGCAAAATAAATAAAATAGCACATCCATTCACTATGTGCCTCTGGCCATCACAGCAGGATTGGATTAACCTATATGACTTATTATGTAGAAATGCCTTCAAGGAAAGAAAGCATTTTATAATTTTGGAGCCTTATAGGGGGCACCTAAGGACCCACTGAATTATTTGTTCTTTTCTAAGTCTGAGCTACCTTTTTATTGGAAGGAAAACTACAGCAGCCCTTTACAAAAGTCCTGTTAATTTATACCCTTAAGTAGGTAGAGAGGGGTTGGTGAAGTCTAGCTCCCAGAACTTAATCAGATTTATGTTTATGGAGTCAGTTCAATAAATTACTATAATTGAAAATAATCCCCTAAATTTTCTAGTCCTATTCACTTTATCTATTTTAATAGCAAATAGTTTGTGATTTCCCAGGAGGATCTATTTCCTGGCTTCTTTGTTTCTTATTAGATTTTAAATGAGTTTGAGCGTTCAAGATGCTGACATTACTAATGTTGCTCTTCCTTTTAAATTCTGCTACTTGTCCAAAGCTATTTACATTGCTATTTACACATCCCTCTACTTTTTCTCTCCCTCTCCCTTGTAGGAGTTTTGGTTTGTCTTTTTCTTCCTTTGATCTTTTCTCTTTGAAGGAAGCCTCCTTGGATTACAATTCACGGGGCATCCATGGACGATCTCCATCTGCATGGGCTGGTGCACATCCCTCCTGGCTTCCTAACACATATGTCAAAGTCAACAGCCCACTGCTGTGTGGCAGCCTTCAAAGGGAGACTCCTCTGTTTCAAGACTTTGAACACTGACCATCTGCAGGAATGGACCCTGATCATTACTCCTCTGAGTCTTGGTCTTTTAAGCCAAATAGCAGCTCACTTGTAGATGGCCAGGTCTGAACGGGCAGTTTGTATATAATTGCTCCTACGTATCTATACCAACAAGTCCAGTTACAACAGCCACTCTGACAAAGAGGTAGTCTGAACAACAAAGCTATTTTCATAGGGGCTATGCTTTCTTACCTAGCGCCTTTGAAATTATACCACTGATCTGGCAAAAGGAAATTATATTTTCAATTTCTGGGCAGAGCAATAATCATGCTTTGCTATGAAGAGCTGCATCCTCTTCTGTGGTGTGTAACTGGAGGGGTGAGTTGAACCTTTATCACACCTTTATCTCCCAGGAAGCAGCAATTAGCCTCTCACCTCTTCCCTCTTCAAACACAATTAGAGCAAACACAAAAGAGTCAGGTAGGAAGAAAGGAAAGTTGGAGGCGCTGGAGCAGGATGCTGAATCCAGCAAGCTGCGCAAGTGCTTTTGAAAACCACTGCCCTGCACAGCCCGTTCCGAAGCAAGGAGTCCAGACCCGCAACTTGCAGACAGGACGCTGAGGTTCTGAGAGCACGGAAGACCCCAGAAATCTAGGGAGAGTTTTAGCACTTGGTTCTCAAATTCTTAGTCTAACATTCTTGTAGAATGTGTATTAAATTTTATTTTATGTACCTAGACCATGTTCATCTCTTTTAATATTGTTAAAGATGGATTTATTGTCATTATTGGCACTGACTAATAAACATAGGGCAGTGTTAACAATATAATTAATAATCCTATTTATTGGAATATTTTGCTGATCTCTGTGGGGATGAGACCACCCATGACAATACATTGGAATCATTTCAATTTATACTCACTTCCAAAATCTAAGTGTTTCAGGAGCACATTGGAAATTTATTCAACCAAAGAAAATGGAATCTGTGACTCCCCAGTGATAACCAGACTAATAATTGGCTTGCTTATGTCTCCAACATGCATTTACTGAGCACAAACTAACTTCTGGTCCCAGTCCACCTGCACTGAGGAGGGTTTGTAATTGCACTGCAAAAGATTTAGCAATGGCCACAGCCCTCCACCTAGCATGTCTCCACCAGGCTGGCGACACATGGTGCTAAACTGACTTTCCCATAATGAGTCATCCGGAGAAAGATGATTTCATGCTAACTTTCATTTTCTCCAAACAGTGTAGGTGGAAAGATGGAAAGAAATCAGCTTTGTTTCATGGTAGAAAATCCTCTGGTTTGGCACACACCAAAGGCTACAGAATTTTCTTCTTTACTGTAAGAAGTACCCATCTCCCTTTTTTTAATTCCCTAAATTATGACCCACCAACTTTCAGCTAGAAATGCTAAACGGGATTGTACACTCAGTGTGCCAACAGTTGACAGTATGCCAAGAGCTGCCTCATGCTGTGCAGAATGTTATTGTCCACAATTTCTTACTTGATAGGATCTTAGAGAAGTGAAACAGTCATTTCAGGTTTGCTAGCACAGCAAAAGGAAGTAGCTACCTGGCAATTTCCTCACTGCATTAATATTTTTAAAAATGTACCCTTTAAAAATTGATCTTTCAGCACAAAATTAAGACACTGTTCTATATTGCGTGGCGCCAGTCTTGCTTGTAGTTTTGGATGACAGATCCCTAAACTATAAAGCATGAGTAATAGGCCTGAACCCCAATATCCCTTTGTATTGAGTACAGCCAAGTGATCCTGATTATACAAAGCAAAGAGTTGAAGCAACTATCTAATCATTCAAAGCCCCCCAAAATACATTGGCTTGAATCATTCAGGAAGTGCCCCAGTTTTCTTTTTCAACTCTAGAAGCCCAAATCTGACCAAAGCCTTTTCTTTTAAAATTTCTAAAAGATAAAGCTAATGGAGTTGCCATCAGCCTATCTTCAAGTTTTATACATGTAGTTAGTAGTTTCCTGGTCACTAATCATATGTTCCCCCCTAGAAACACAGTCAGGAATTCCTTTGAACCCTTAGCCCTAGCAGAAAATTGGCCTAAGCTTCTTTTCTACTCCCAGTGGCAAATTCCCCACAAAAACAGCAAGAAACATTTGGAAGAGAGGCAGGCATTGTCTTATGTTGAGATGAGCCACCAGGGAAACAAATAGCCCCCAAGCAGAAGGTAGAGGTTGTTCATAAACTACAGCTCAAAACTCTGACATAGTTAACAACTCAACTTGCCCTGGTGGGTGGTGGTTTCTTGAGATTCTATGTGCAGGAGGCATATGGACAGCAGTTAGAAAAAGCCCAGAAAGAACTAAAACTATGCCAGAAGAAAAGGGTGGGAGGAAATGGCAGAGGTTCCAGAACCAGGCAAAGGGAAGGGGTATAGCAAAAAACTTGCAAAGACAAAGGGAAGATAACATTTCCAGTTGCATTCTTTGTTAGAGAGAAGACAGCCCACCTTCAGGAACTGGGCCTTGTCTCAAGAGAGGTACTTCCAGCAGTAAAAGAGAACACTGCTCACACCCAGCTTGTACTCAGGGCTCCCCGCCTGCAGCTTTGAAATGCCCAGCAGCCTGAATCAGCCTGCTGATTTACACTGCCTGGTGCTGTTTATGTTTGTATTTACCCAGGCTTCCATTGAGCCAGGTACATTACAAATGCATCTATAAACCTGCTGGGGAGCCCAAATACACACATGGTACAACAGGGAGACTATTCATGGACTTTCACAGATTTAAACCCCAGCTTACCTGGACATAAACCCAGAGTCAACATACAACAAAGGTAACTCTGAAAACTTTTTCTTTAAATAGCCTTAAAATCACATTTTCTAAGCTTAATACCCTTTTAGTAAAATTTTTTCAGCAGCCATATTAAAGTTATCTAATGGCTTATGAAAGACCATGTAGCATTTTTTAACTTTCTAAAGTTTGTTTTAAAAACTTATATGGGGGAGGGGGAGCCACTAAACTTCCAGTAAACGGCCAGCGTAAATATTGGCAGCTCTGTGAGCCAAAGTCTGTCACAACTACTAAGACTGCAGCTGTAGAAGAAAACAAGAAGAAAATAAATGAATGTGACCAGGCTCCAACAAAACTTTATTTATGGACATCAAAATTTGATTTCACATTTTCCTGTCATGAGATATTCTTCTCGTGTTGAGTTTCTTCCGCCTGTTACTTCATAGGTCACTCAAAACAAGCAGCTGGCTTGATCTGGCCGGCACCCCACAGTGTTGGGGTCAATCCCTGACTGACATAGCTGGAAGATAAAAGTTTCTGCTATCAACTGAAATGGCAGAGTTCAGGGTAAGGCAGTCCAAGGGGAAAGGAGACGGTATTGTGGAGTTGCATGAATTGTATCTCTACATTTTCTCTAAGAGGCTTTGACATACTAAAAGTCAGGACACTCCCAGGCCTGTCCAAGAAGGCAAAACTCTCAGCCTAGAGCTTTTCTTTCAGATGGAACCAAACTAACCCCTAGTCCCCACCTGACCCCTTTACCTGTTACATACCGGAGCATTTCTTGTGCCTTAAAGCACCTGGGGCCCAGGTACTAGGAACCTAGAGACACCACCCCAACTGCTCAGAGCCCGCTGGAATTATTCATGCTTGCCAGCCCCAAATGTTCACTTTACCCTACTTCTTTTTCCTATGGAACCCTCCACAAAGCCCACGGCCCAGGTTTTCTTTTCATTTCAGATCCTGCCTCCTGATCCCAGTGTTTCTCCTGCTGCCCTTCACATAGTGCGTTGTGCCCCGCTGTCTCAAGCAATGGAAAAGAAATCTTTCAGTGGTACTGGCCAGTCTGCATCATTTCTCAGACACTCCCCAAAATTAAAATCTCCAGATACCAATGGGACAAGAGTGCCCCTCCTCAACACAAGAGTCCAGGACCAGTAGCAGTGTAACCTGGGCTCAAGCCCAGATCTACAGAGTCCAGTCAGCAGGTAAACAAGATCCCCAGACTGTGTAAGGCTGCTGAAGCTGCAAATCTCCAGGAATGTGGTTGAAAAACACGCTTTGCAATTAGAAGGCCTAGCTCAGATCCTTATGCCTTCCCGTTCACTATCTGGCCCTGGAAGAATTTATTATCGATTATATACCTTTTTCCATGGCTAAAAGTGGGGCTGAGGATCACACGCTCTGTGCTATATTCTTAGAAAACACCTGGCAAATATTACGATTCCCCCAAAATAAGAATATCTAACCAGAAAATAAGCCCCGGCTGGTTGTCACCATGGCGATGGCCAGTGTCATGCAGATTACACCTCAGGATGCTGGCTCAGTGGCTACTCTGTAATGGCAGAGAAGGATAGGCTGACTGGGGCTGGCATTTTTGATCTCTAGTTTTCGGAGCTTTTAGGTCTTATTTTGAGGGAAATCTGGCGTTCATCAAATGTTTACTGTGATTCATTTTTAGAAAAGAAATACCTAGGCACATATTCCTTCAGGCCATTTCCTCCAGGACATACTGATTTTGAGCAGCAGTACTCTGACTACAAAGCCAACCCATCCAATAATCCCATCCCTAAAAGAAAAGAAAGACACCACCACTGGCCGCAGAGCGTAAAATATATTGATGGCAGTAAAGGGACAATGGAGCCGGTTTGGGTGCTGGGGTGACACGCAGCACACACACATGCTCTGTTTCTCTGAGCCGTGTCATGAAGTTGGCAAATACATCTGTCTGAACATGGTGCTTGCTTTTTCATCAGCACAGATTACTACTCTACAGTTTCTCCTAGAGTAAATATACACGACAGCTGTTAGCAGAGCACTACAGACCTATTTAGATGTTTAACATAGGTGAGCTATTTCACAATTAGATCAGTCACTGAGTTAACAGCAAAGGGTTTTTCACTGTTTTGTTCACTGCTACGGGGGAGGAGGCAAACTTTTCCAGTTTACTCTTTGTTTACATAGTCAGCAACAGACTGCAAAAAGTATGAAAAATAAAGTCCGTTTTTTAAAAAAAAAAAATTGTGATTATGCCACGGGTTTTTCCAAGACCCTTAAAGTCAGATCATTTAAATTTACAAGAAAGAAAAAAAAAAAAAATCAGGTGTTATGGAAAACCTAGTAACAAAAAAAGTTCTGAAAAATACATCTGTAAAACACAGTGGTCAGTTGTAAACAGCTCAGAAGGGCAAAGAAAACAAAGAAGTCCTTCTAGCGAGGTAAGCAGTCGGACAACCTCAAACTCTGCTTTTTTTTTCCCTAGTGGCTATTTTCCTACCACAGTGTTGCGCTTCATTATTATATTAAATAACTTATGTGGGTAAAAAGGAGTTTGCTAACCAGCAGCCAACTCAAAACCTCATAGGAAGAGGGAGGAGAGGAATTTACAACACAGCACACACTAAAGGAGAGCCAAGTCCTCATCCAGCCAGTGCCCTCCTCTCCAGCAAAGCTGCTGGAGCTGAGGTCTGGAATCTAAACTGAGGGGATTTTTCCCCTCCCTCCTCTCCCTTCTTCATTTAAATTAACAAAGGAACATGGGCTTCCTAAGAGCCAGCACTCAGCTGGGTAAGTCCCATTAGCAGCAAAAGTTCAACCAAATAAAAACACACACACACAAAAGAAAACTCCATCCGGTGCAGAGCTGTGATTCACATGGAAATTCCAGGAGATGAATCATGTACAGCACCGGGATCTTTAGAGGATTCTTTCTCAAGTGTCTTCAGTGAACATTTCAGTCTCACAAAAAAGTCTGAGTCAATCTGTCAGCTGTGGGAAATGGGTTTCCCATCTGCTCTGGAGTGAGCTTGCTTGCTTTGCCGATCCGAACACTGTGAGGCCTATGGAGTCCTCCTGATTGTTTGTAGCTCTAGATGCCAGAAGACAAATGCCAGCCTTTGCAGGATCTGTGTGATGCAGCAGCAGCAGCAGCAGCAGCAGCAGCAGCAGCTCCCATGTGTTAAACTCTGCCCAGGAGGCTCGACCTGGATGATAGAGAGCCGTTTAAGACAGAAGGCAGCAGACTTTGTGCATTACAAGTTAACTCAAATTGCCTAGCACTTGCCTAATAATTTCATCTTTCTAGGTTTTAAATTTATTTTACATAGTTATAACCAGGGGGGTGGAAATCAAGCTTTGAAGTCTTCCTCGTCATTCAGGAAAATTGCTAGTCGCTTAAAGAAATACTAATGGAGAGAGCAAAAACTGTTTATAGATAGATACATCTGTATCGTTGAGTGGTTTTATATCCAAACAAAAACAAAAAGCAAAGATCACTAATGAAAAGCTTTCAGATATGTGCCAGTCCTCTTACAGAAAGGTTCACTTAGTAGATAAAAGCACCTTTTGCAACACTTCCTGTAATACTTCCTCCACAGGGGGCCATGAAGTTGTCAGTGACAAGAAAGGTGTCTCAACTCAAGACGTAGGTGCGGCATTGCCATTGATGAATCTGCAGTCAACAGCTCTAGGTACAGCAGGGAAAGTGTGTTTATATGAAGCTCTTATTGTCTCTAAAGCTAATGAGTAGACAAGACCTCAGGTAGGTACCATGACTCTAGAATATTCAGTAGCCACTTGACATGTGGTTTTTCAAATCACACTACCCCAGTTTCTTTGCTGTATCTGCTTATGGTTGCTATGTCTTGGCCACCAACACCTGCAGCGACCCAAGATCATCACCACCACCCGATGAAGCAGGAGCCGACAGGCAGAGGTCGTGCAAGACAGTGCGTCTGGGGCAGGACACACACTGCATAAAACAGTCTGCAGCTTGGGCCAGGAGAGGAAGACTGCCTTCCAAGGGCATCAGTTTCTCCTCCTTGGAGACTGGCCAGGGACAGGGTTGGGACCTGTGTGAGAACAGGCAGGGGTGGGGAAGGCACTATGGAGTCTATTCTTGAGTTCTCCTCAGGAAACTACATTAACATGGAAGCCAGTCTTTTCTACCAAAGAATGCACCTTCACTGTGCTCATATACCTATTTCCTTATATAACATTTATTTTATTTGTGCCACTGCTAATCCCCTAGCCAACTTTCATTACAAGCAGTATTACTGAGCCCCTTGGAGCACAACCGCAGATACCGCAGACTGCTGGATTTGTGTCTGAATATAAGCCACTGCCCTTTCTTTTTCACTTCTCATTTCTGAATTGTCCAATCACATTTCAACCAGTCAAATGCCCATTGTTACTGTATCCTGTGTGTGTGGTCCATAGAGATATGGGAAGAGATTATGCAATTCAGTCTTCAACTTTTACTACCAAACCTTGGCTGGACTTATGAACCTTTCCAACCTAAGTACTCATCAGTAGGAGTTTCATGAAAGAGTAACAATTTAAAAAGAATTGGAGTATGTCTGGATGCTGTAGGTAAGGTAGATAACCAAGTGTCATTCTGCAAAGGCAATATGTTTAATTTTTTTAATTCACAAGAAAAGTAATAATAACTAGGCTACCTGGAGCCTCACCTAACATAGTGTTTTTAAAAAGAGAAGAAAATAGGGATTAAAACAGAGCGCTATGGAAGGCAAAATTCATCTAGCACTGATAATGTAAAGAAATAATTCTTAAATTTTTATAGTTGATGTGTACTTTAAATGTCTATATGTGGGGGGCTGGGGATTTAGCCAGCGGCACAGTGCCTGCCTGGCAAGCGCAAAGTCGTCAGTTCAATTCCCAGTACCGGAAAAAAACAAAAACAAAACAAAAAAAAAAGTCTATATGTGCAAGTGAAAATTAGTAAAGAATACAATAAATACCTTCTAATACATATGCAAAGTGCTACAAAATTTCAGTTGAAATGTCCCAATAGAAGGCACAAATTTTCAAAAAAAATAAGCTTGGGAGCTGGGAACAAACCTAGTAAGACTATCATATTCCCAATCCTCTGGACATTAGTTGGACCTTCGTTATGTCTATGCCTAGGGGTACAAGAAAACATTTTCATGACTTATTCTAGGGACAGTCATCTCAGTGCCTCTGTGCCCTATCCCTCCTTGAGAGGTATAAACGAGGTCTAAATTTTCCTTAAAAAACTATTAAAACCACACAGAACCAAGTATATTGTAGATTTAAGAAGTTCACCTCACATCAAGTACATGAAAGTTCCTAAATGACCCTGGGACGGCAAAAGGAAGAAGAGAAAATGTATTTGTCAGCCATGTTCAAAAAAGTGTAAAGAGTGTCTTAGTAGAAACACAGTGACAGCAATTTGGATTATAGTGTCTTATCCTGGGCTACTGTTATCTATCAAAGTATCTTAAATGCTTAAAATGCAAATGCTCACAGGCTGTGTTCAAAAATATTAATAGGATAGCAAAAGTTTTAAATTTGGACAAACTCCAGAGTATATTTTAAAGTCTCAATTCTTTCTCAAACAAAAGAGGGGACTGATATCTAATTGGTAAGTGATGCCAACTTTACTGACTTGAACTGGTCCCACCCAATACTAACCACTACAATATTCTTTTTTTCCTCAAGTCAAATAAAATTTTTGGATTAAAAGAACTGTTTAGAAATAAGGTCTGGACGGGCGTGGTAGCGCATGCCTGTAATCCCAGCACTCGGGGGTCTGAGGACCACTGCAAGTTCAAGGCCAGCCTGTGCTACATAGTGAGTTGAAGGCCAGCCTGAACTGCATAGTGAGACCCTGTCTCAAAAAGACAAAAAAAAGAAAGAAAAGAAAGAATGTCTGAACTTCTGATCTTTTAGACAAAGAAAAATAGTTTAAAAAAAAACCCATACTACAGTGCAATTAATTACTTTCAATTCCTCGGTCTATTACATAATGCAAGAAAGAAGAACAGACCTGCTGTACATTATGTACTGATATAAATAAATAAATAAATGGCAATAAACTTGAATGTTGGGAATGGGAATTCTAATCCACAAAGGTCTAGGTAATAGAGGATAAGGTGCAGGGGTCTTGGAACCGGTAGGGAGGGGCTTCCTAGGAATGCATGTGGTTTTTTTCAAGTAACATCAACACTTCCTGTGGCATGCACAGCACCAAGACGCGATGAGACCCACCTTAAAGACTTCCACCTGTCTTTCTCTATGTGATTTTCAGGTCCTTCACTCTCGTAAGAAGCCAGGTACAGAGCTATGGGAAGAAAGACTCCATTAATACTGGGGCCTCGTCCTGACACGGCACCCACCACAGTGTCTCCTGTTCACTGTGAGCCCAGGCCCTCTCAAAACACACCTTTTATCTGGGCGCAGGGACACACACCTATAAGCCCAGCACTCTGGCAGGCTGAGGCAGAAGGACTGCAAGTTTGAGCCCAGCTGAGCAACTGAATGACTTAGCAAGACTGTCTCAAAACAAAAAACATAAAAAGAAAAGGGCTGGGAACGTTGCTCAGAGTGAAGCCTCTGGGTTCATTCCCAGTACAAGAACAACACAAACCCACACTCTTTTAAGTTACCAAAAGATAGTGGAGAAGAACACAGAGGAGTACTTTGACCAGCTCGACAAAAACTCAAGGGTGGCTAGGCCAAAGGGCACTTAATTAACTAAGAATTCATAAAGCCAAAGGCTTATAACATGTAAGCCACGTCATGCTGTCATTCATTACGGTTTATGTTCTTTACAAAGAAAGGGGTAGCGGTCTTTTCCTGGAGCTCTCAGGCTTTTAAAAACCCTTAGTCCTAGGATAATTTTGTATCCTTCTAGTTATTTTTTTTACCTTTCTAAATCAGAAAGAATCCTCACTTAAAAATTTAGAAGGCTGTTATTAATCTTAGAGGTTAAAAGCAATCAAGTTTCCTCTGATGTAACATTAATTAAAAATGATCTTCCCTCGTAATTACAAACACTATCAATCTAGCATGAACAACCATTCAAAAATGATAGGATATAACTAATCAATAAACTATATCCCTCCTGGCCTTCCTTCCAGCCATCATACCTCAGTGAAAGGAGTCACTGGTGAGGAGGTAATATGCTATTTTTGACAACCCTTAGGCTGTAACTACTTATTAGATCCTTCTTGCATATCTCTGTCTTCCTGAGAAACCGCTTTGAAGATACCACCATGTATTATAGCAGCCATTGATATTTTCCTACTAATCTATCCATAACTGTGTAAAGTTTGTAATGTTCCTATCCTATTTCATAAATGGATGTATGTTTATTATTATGTATTTCCTACAACAACCATTGAGAATAGTTAATGATTTTTCAATAGGTCACTCATGTATAGCTCTATTTATTTTCTTTAGAAGCCACTTTGAAGATACCAAAGTATAGCACAACAACTCTTGATAACCTCCTACCTCTTTTGTCTCTAACTCACTATTATTTGTCTATTTGTTTTCCTGAGAAACTATTTTGTAGATAATAATATGTAAAACGATAACCATTGATAATTTCCTACCATTTTGTCTGTAATTTGCTAAGTCCCCCCTATTATTACGTTATCCTTCTTTTACTCTTTAAAATTAAAAAAATTAAAAAAATAAACTATATCCCAAGTCTTTTAAGAAACTCTCTCTTCTGGTGATTTTTTTATAACTGTTTAATCACTTCTTCTGCCTTAATTTCCCTAGTGCTTTAATAGGTCAAGACTCTTCCCTGCTTTTCCACATAGCAGAGACAGTAGCCCAGAAATTTACTGTTTTGGCCCTCCCTCACTCTCAAACTACCCTGACTATCAACAAAACACGAAACACCTTTTTTTATCCACCACTGAAGAAGCCCAAATAAGGAGACAAAAACCCTTCCACTGGTGTCCATTTATGCCCAAAGCTTTACAAATGACGTACTCTAAAGGACGTTCAACATGGAAACATACTGTTTATGGGTGAAGATTAAGTAGAAATATTTAGGAGTAAGTTATAACATTTTCTATGTCATAAAAAAACTCTTCAAGTGGGACAGACCACTGGACTGCTGGCCTCACTGCACAGTTACAAGTCAGACTCGGGGCTGCTGGGCAGTGCTTGCGGGGTGAGCTCACCATCTTCGCTGAAGACGGGCACTGTAAGCAGGTACTGCAGGATCTTCCGGTCCCTCTCAAACGGACACTCCACTTGCTTCCATGTCATGAATTCACTCACTTGTTTGGCCAGTTCCCAAAATTTCTGGAAGACAATGAAAGAGAAAAATGTTCAGAGCGATCATCAAAAGTGATCAGCTTGGCCGGGCGTGGTGGCACACGCCTGTAATCCGAGCACTCGGGAGGCTGAGGCAAGAGAATTGCTGCGAGTTCGGAGACCAGCTTGGGCTACAATGTGAGCTCAAGGCCAGCCTGAACTGCATAGTGAGACTCTGTCTCAAAAAGGCAAAAAAAAAAAAAAAGTGATCAGCTTGGAAAAGACAATTACACGTAAAAATGCTCCCTTCGAGGTTTAACTTCTAAGTTAGATACTTTTCTTGATTAAAAACTCTATTTGCTCCCTAGATACAGGTGCACATGTATTCAAATTCCCTCAGTCAATGATAATGATAATAACTGTGCAACTACTGCGTCCTGCTTGGTATTCTTAATCTCTTAAGAGAAATTTGTTCTGCAACTGCAGAATCAGAACTGGCTGCCGACCTGGGGCAGCGCGCTCAGAAGATGCCCCCGCCCTGCATGCACCCCACCTGATGCACTCACCTCGAAATTGACGTGGCCATTTGGGAGACGGTTGGCACAGCCCTCATTGAGGAAATAAATGTCTTTGATTAAGAGACTGAAGAATGGTATCACAATCTAGAGAAAACAAAAGACTCTGGTTTGTCTGGGCATCAAATAGCGCAAGGGATTAATGAACAACCTTGACTCTGACTTGCACAAAAAGCCACAGGGAATTAAGGGACAGTGTCCTGCATACAATACATATAACACACAACAGCAGTTTCCTCCCTGGGATAAATCTGTCCAATGTGCACAGTAAGGCCAACCAGTGCTGGAAAGTAGAAAGGTGAGTGCTTTTCCTAGTTTTTCTGAGTTTTCTTTCTCTTCTCTTTTTTTTTTCTTTTTTCTTTCTTTATTTTTTATTTTTTGAGACAGGGTCTCACTATGTTGTTCAGGCTGGCCTTGAACTCAAGGTAATCCTCCTGCCCCAGCCTCCCAAGTGCTGAGATTACAGGCGTGCACCACCACACCCAGCTTGTCTGAGTTTTCTCAGTGCATGTGATGAAATCTGAAAATTCGACCTGTAATGGAAGAAAATAATGCCTCAAAGCACTCTTGTTTTCATTTGGCAACCCTAGTCATGATTAAATCTTTTTTTTTTTTTTTTTTTTTTTAGGCAGAATCTCGCTGTGTAGTTCAGGCTGGCCTTGAATTCACTGTTACATAGCCCAGGCTGGCTCGAACTCATGGCAATCCTCCTGCCTCAGCCACCATGCCCAGCAGTGAAGTCCTAACAGAACATTTATCTCTGCAAGCGCTAACATTTTAAGATGTGGGACCCATCTCTTTGCTACATTTCATATCGCTACATCATCTGCATGTCAATATTTCAGATGAACTTTTTTTTTAATGATTTCATTTTACCCTTGCAGGCATTGCTCAAGATAATATGAGGGCTCAGGGCTAAGTTGCTACAGGCTCCCTCTGGAGCACAACCAGCCTGTGAGGAGGGAGCAAGTTGGCACCTGCAGCTTGGAAAGGCTCCTGAGAAGTAGCCGGTACAGATGCTGTGAGCTGCGCTGCAGTGAAGGAGGAATACGGACTCTCTTTAATAACACTTCTGTGCACCAGGTCTTTGGTCAGATGAAGTGCTATTTAGCTAAGTAACATAAAACAATCATCTCTAGGAACGCCCCCTAAATCCTACTAAACCCGCAACAGAGAACAGAGCTTACACATGGAAGCTTCCAGTTTCTCTCAAATGCCAAGACAGCGTAAGATCTGATATTTCCTACAACGCCGAGGATGCGCTCACCGCAGACTGCGGGTCTATCCTACGTCTCCTAGGTCAGGTTTTGGATGTTTCCTAAGCTTGTGACTTCTACACCAAACAAACAACAAAACACACTGTTTGGCTTACACACAAAAACATTAAGTATCACTTCACCTTTAGAGAGAAATTCAGATTTTCCCCTAAAGCCATTTAAAAATAACAAGCTTTTATTTTATTTTATTTCATTGATCTCCAAAAATAACCAAATTGAATCTTTAATTGCAAATTCTGGGGATTGCAAGTCTCCTGTCTCGGCCTTCCAGAGTGCCAGGATTACAGGCATGTGCCACCGTGGTGTGAATGTACTCTTGCTCGCTTGCTCTTGTCTGTCACTAAAGCTGAAGCAGTGAGGATGCCACGGCTTTCTCCTAGCGTTACTGGCTATTTCTCCGTTGCGTTACAATAAAGCAGGTGTGAGAACAGTGCAGTAAGACATCGTTTAAAATGCAGCTCCATGATTTTCCCTAGTGGCAGAAGCCAGGAGCTGGTGCACTGTGGCCTGCACATCCTGTTTGTATATCGTAGGAACAAGACATCTTACATTTGTAGGTAGCTGGGGAAAAAAAATCAAAAATAATATTTCATGATCACGAAAATTATATGCAATTCAAACTGTAGTGGCCATAGGGCTCTCCTGGGACACAGCCACGCCCACTCATCTACGCACTGCTGATGCCCGCCTCCGTGCTTCTGTTGAAGTTGAGCAGGCACTCAGAAGATAATACAGACACATCTTTATACGACCACCATGTGGGAATCAGAATCAAGACGCAGTATCTGTAAACTATAATACAGCTTTGGAGCGAGAAGTTTATTTCTGTGCTGTATTCTTTGGTGCTGGGCTGTGAGATTTATGGGGTGATGACCACAGGGGTATCCTCATAGGGATGATTAAATGTCTTCTAAGTTCATGCCATGTGCCTTTAGATGGATTATACATTCTGGGGGGCACCGGTTATACCCTATGTGATTTTTACATTCATGGATGCCCAAAAGATATTCTACAACTAAGTGGCTGGGTCACCCTTCCAAGGAGACGGAAGCGCAGCTGATCTCACTCTGGGTAACTTGCTGCCCTGGGCCGCATGCCCAGAAGCAAGAAAAAAGTCACACAGCCTTCAGCTTCTCACTTGCTCACGGATAATCCGCATCCGATCAGCGGCCCCTGTAACCAATCTAAGCAAAAAATGTGTGGGTTCCTGTGACGTAAGTGAATGTACAGACCACTCGTAAAAGAGACTATGTTTGGTTTCTGGAAAGTCTTCCCTACAATCCCTTTAGTGGAAGACCTTTTCAAGAAATAATGATTTCCGTTCCCCTTAAAGTATTAATTCAGAGTCAACAGCTATACTTTGAAAGTAGCATCAGTTTTACACCTAGAATGAAAGCTGAGAGGCAGGAACAAGCTCACAGCAACACAGACAGAGCGGAGAGGGACTGGAAGCCGCACAGTCATACGAAGAACGGTTAAAAACCCAGAGATGCGAGGACCCCCAGGAACAGGAGGCCACTGAGCATGTAAGGGTTCCGGGACAGAAGACAGGCTCGATTCGCCGTGTGACAAGTACTTAGGATGTGCTGCTGTAACCATATCATTCGGTTCTGCTATCAGAAACACTGTAACACAGCCAATCTGGAGTAAGATATGTACTCCTTGGCCTCAAAAAAATGATTTTAAATCCCAATTTTCTTGACTAAAAGATGGAGTTGACCAGAAATGTTTTCATTCTTATTCTCTGAGACCAATTACAATAAACAGTGTGTTCTTTCAGAGGTTATGATAGCTGGGCGTGGTGGCGCATGACTGTAATCCTAGCACTCAGGAGGCTGAGGCAGGAGGATCATTGCAAGTTCAAGACCAACTGGGGCTACAAAGTAAGCTCAAGGCCAGCCTGAACTGCATAGTGCGAGCCTGTGTAAGAAAGAAAACAAAAACAGAGGTTATGATAGCATTTGTTTTATGAACTACAGACTACATGCATTACATGCTTACACAGAACTGGTTTAAAAAAATAAATTGGTACAGAATATATGAAATGATTTGAAGTGTGAATACTAGGGACTTTTTCTGGAAAAAGCTGTGAGGAACCCACAGTGACATCTCTCGGGATGGCTGGACTTCAGAATTACTTTGGCCACTGTGACAATTCCCAAACAGGTACGAGTCTCCGGGCCTTTGGGCCTCGCAGAGAATGCCTGCCATCCAGCCTGGGGGTGGGGTGCAGTTAATGGGGTGGGCTTGCATACTCACAGCCTCCAGCACATCCTTCCCTTCAGGACCCACCCATATATTGTTTGGACAGCAACTTCAGATTGGGTCTTTTGTCAACCCAGTCAGGAGAACCCCGATTTAGAAAACTGTCAGACTACCTTAATTTTCATTGTTTAAGAACCAAAAGCTAATATATTTACAATATCTCTTAAACATTTTCAGATCTGACATACCAGATTTGGTTAAGAACCAACTTGGCATCTTTTTTTTTTTTTTTTTTAAGGTAAAGTTGTGTTTTTTTGTTTTAGATCATTAAGACTGAAGTGTGGGCTGGTAATCCCAGCACTCGGGAGGCTGAGGCAGGAGGATCGTTGTGAGTTTGAGACCAGCCTGGACTACAAAGTGAGTTCAAGGTTAGGCTGAACTGCATAGTGAGACCCTGAATCTTTCAAAAAAAAAAAAAGACTGAAGTTTGGGGGGATAAGGGACTAAGATGCCATTAAGTACTTTTTAACCCTCATTTTTTTGTTGTTGAAGATATAGTTTCAGTTAAAACACAATATGAACAGAAAAGATTCAGTCCATCACCTCTTATCGTAACTGGGTATATACTTCTTAAGTAACATAATGGCCAAATGTCAAAAGGATTTATTCATCTTTAGTAAGGAAATATAACACAGAAATGTACCCAGAAGGACCCTGAAAGTCAAGACTATGGTAGGTGCAGGACAGCATGAACTTGTGTAAGGGTAGGGGAGAGAGAGAGGAGCATTAGGTTTTCAGACACTATCCTTGCAATTTTTCCTGCCACCTGCATATCCAATTAGTAACAGCAGGGCTAATGCTCTAGCAACTAGCCTACTTTCTGAAAATAAATGACTTCACCATGGGAGGTAAGCTAATTCTTTTAGGAGAGAGGGTTACACTAAGCCAGCCACCTTCTGCAGAGCTTAAATGTCTACTTTTCCATTTAACCAAATGACTCTCTAATGCTATTAGTCACTTTAACATATGACTTAATTTATTGCTTGAAATACAGCTAAGACACACTGTAGAATAAGAATTGTGGTAATGCAGTAATAACACAATTACATAGATTTGCAAAGTTCTGCATCAAGTTGCCTTGCCTTTTCCACAGTCTACCTTTTCCTCAGCATCCCTCTTCCCTATGCAGCCAGTGATGGGATTTCTGTAGTACACATCTCTCTGCAATCTGAACATGTGAAAGGAACGCGGCGATGTAGTTTGCATTTCATTTCAGTACAAAATATGGCGATTATGGGGCCTGGGATTTAGCTCAGTGGCACAGTGCCTGACAGGCAAGCGCCTGCCCAGCAAGTGCAAGGTCATGAGTTTGATCCCTGGTACAGGAAAAAAAACAAAAAAAAAAAACCCACAAAAAACAAAATATGGCGATTATAGAATGAAGAACATACTAAACAAAGCACACACCTTCTCTCTGCTACTGTGAGCAGTTAAAGACCTTTGTGCTGCCCCACGAAGAGCTGTTCGATAATTATAGAAGTTGCTGGAAGGGTCCATCTGATGCTGTAGAGAAAAGAACATCAGCCCTGAATTCTCACCTGTAAAAGCTTACAAGATCTCACATGTAACTATACATAAAAAATTCTAAGTGTGGGAACTCATTAGGAACATGACTTATCTTTTTCATACCCACAAGCATGCAAAACATTAAGAACATAAATGTTTTCTTTCTCAGTTGGGTTTATTTTGGGAAGTTGATGTCAGCTTTGAGGATGTTAAACCTAAACCAAACCTAATTATGGAGATCAGACCTAAAACTGTCAACAAAGACTCGAAATAGAAAAATTTCCTGGTTTCACTGGAAGGTCAGTGGGTCAGGGGACGATCACCCATATATATTGATCGACACTTAGCAGTGAACTTGTTTTTGCATTTTATAACGAATCGTTTAAAAGTAACTGAAGCAAACCATTTCACAAGAAGGAAAATAAATGCATTACATGGATAAAGCATCACATAATACATCTAACAATAATTCCCAATTTAGAGGAAAACTTGGGAAAGAATGCTTACTATTTCCAAAGGCAGCAGAATGAAAGCACCAACACATGGAGGGCATATGGAGAGGAATTTGATTCTCACACACACCCCCTCGTGCCACAATTCTGACTACCCTTAGAATTACGTGAGAAAAACTTTGCATAAGTTAACTAAGTTTGCACAGACGATGGTGAATGAATATTATCTGAGGAACTCTTCTCCAGCACACTGCAGATAAAGAATGAAGCTAGGAGGCTAAGTGGGAAGTAAAACTGCTGTTCAAAACGCCAGGTCTATTCTGGTACACAATGTCAGCATTTGCCCTGTCTATTATCCCAAAATGGTCCCCTCTACTTATGGGAGGACTAGTCCAAAACTTATTTCCCATCTGTAGCTCAAACTCTTTTCCTTCCCTTGGGTCTGGAAGGCGTTTTCTTCTGCAGGGGTACCTGACTGTGAGGCAAGAACAGAGACAGCAATCCCACTTTCTGTGTCTAAAGCTTTTTTTTTTTTGAGACAGGGTCTCGCTATGTAGTTCAGGCTGGCCTTGAACTTACTATGTAGCCCAGCCTGGCCTCGAACTCATAGCTATCCTCCTGCCTCAGCCTCCCGAGTGCTGGGATTATAGGCGTGCGCCTCCACGCCTGGCTCCAAAACATTATTAACAGTCAAAGAGAGTTACATACCTCAAGAATGTCGAACTTTGCAGTCTTCACTTTGGCCCACGTTTTCTTTAGCCGCGAGACTGGACTCATATTCATGCCAGCTTTCCATTTAACAAGCACGGTGGGGAAGAGAAATTTGAAACAGAGATATAAGCAAAGCCATTCTCCCTTATGCCCTGAATAGTGTGCATTACTAAATATAAGTAATTGAAAAATAAATAAATATAAGTAATTGAGTTGTACAAATTATTAGTAACTAATAGGCTCCAAGTTTACAGCTTCTTGCAAATTTTTCCTCAGCCCAGAAACAACACAACTTTGAGCAAGGGTGAGCACTTGGGGTTTTTTTGGTAAAGGAACAGTAAACATTTTAGGTTTTGTAAGGCATATGGGTCTGTGTCTCAACTGCAGAACATTCCCTTGTTACAAACAGTCCCAAAATCAAACAAGTATGATTATGTTCTAATAGCTTTATTTGGACTCAAGTTGTTCATCGGTTCTACATATTACAAATATTTTCTCCCATACTATGGTTTGCCTTGACATTCTCTTAATGATGAAAAAGGGAAATTAAGTAACCTTCCACTACTTAGACAGTGGGCCTTTCAACTCCCTGACTGAACTGATCCTTCTGTTCATTATTTTCACGGCTACCAGGCCAGTATCACTATGATAAGCACAAGGGCAAATGCCATACAAGTAAAATAGACAAAGGAAATAGTGAAGGGGAATTTATCAGGATCATGTGAAGGAGGAGTTTATCGGGATTATGGTTACTGAATTAAATCTGGTAGGTTATCTAGCTTCAAACTGACCCCAACTCCTCACTTTTTATTCAAGTATTTACTGAGCACCTACAACATGCAGGATGACCATATAACCCGTCATGTAAACAAGTGTACTTATTAATGAGCCATCAGTAATGACAAGATGACAGTTATAAGCTGGAACAACAAAAATTATTATTGCCTGACCCACTGCAACAGAGTGAATGAAAAGAACCAGGGTTTCTGGCATTAAAAATCCCCATGAGAGGGCTGGGGATTTAGCTCAGCCGTACAGCGCCTACCTGGCAAACGCAAGGTCATGAGTTTGATTCCTGGTACCAGAAAAAAACCACAAAAAAAAAAAAAAAATCCCCCTGGGGAAGGGCAAATTCATGTAACTAAAGCAGCATGGTTTGCAGCTACTGTGCGCAGTCAGAAATTGTTAAATCTTTTAGGCCAATTTCTTTTTTTATTGCTGGTTTTTGTTTTTTGGTACTGGGAACTGAACTCACGACCTCATGCTTGCCAGGCAGGCGCTGTGCCACTGAGCTATATGCCCGGCCCGAGGCCAGTTTCTTAACCGTGATAATGAAATCATACGATTTACTCTCAGATCATATACTTCTCTAATGCTTCATATACAAGCTTCACAGATACTCTAAAATCCTTTATTCAGGTAAGTATCTCATTTTTAAGCATTTATAGATGAATATTTGACTTAGGATAAATTTCAAATATTCCAGGAATTCTTGCATACGTAAGAAAAAAGACACATCATGCTGCTATGGCTACTTAAAGCACTCTGAACATTCTTGAAATAATTCAGGAAATAATAATTCCCAAAATAATTCAGAAATAATTCACAAACTTTACTCTCTGCAGATTTCCACAGTTCCCATAAAGAGAGGACACAAATCCCAGCAAAGACTCACAGATTATTGCCATCAAGGAATTAAAGTTGCCAATGTTAAAACACTCTCGAGCCACGTCAATGAAGTACTCAATCATCCGTGCTCGGTGCTTCTTCTTGACAGGCTGCGCAGGAGAAAACAGAGGGCGGTTATCCAACGTGAGGACCCAACAGATGGAGAGCAAGCACGTTAGCAACGTAAAGCAAGGCAAATGCCACTGACAGCTAAGAGGCAGGGGAAATTCACTTTCTCACCATGCAGATTTCTGTCGCCACCAAGTAGCTTAGGCGATTAAACCATTCCACATAGGCTTCTAAGTTTCGTGTTTTCTTTCGCTCACTGAAGCAACTCTACAGAGAAAGCAAAGTGATCTGATGAGTTAGAGGAAAAAAGAATGCAGAAGCATATGGGTGTCACTTTGTCAGTATGGAGCTTTCATTCTCCGTTTATGGGTTAGGAAGGCTTTCTAGGATGAGAAAGCAGAGAGAGAGAGGAACACCAGCATTCTTGAGTATCATTACAGAAATACCAAAATCTCCTAGGATGATCCCATAAAACCTGAGGTCTAGAAATATACTCTAATGCACTCATAAAAGTACCATCCCCTGCCTTCCCAACATATTGATCTGTTCTGGATAGGATCTGTTCCTACAAGATAACCCAAAGCAAGGCTTCGGGCTACATTCTATAACAATCTTGGACTGATTAATGAGCTACAAATACCAATTGCTATCAACACAGCAAGGAGAGGCCTACAATTTTCTCCTAAAATTAAGTTGTATGACAAAATTCTGGAGCATCATGTACCAAGAAACTAAATATCTTCCAAAGAAGACAGATGAAGATAGATGAAGCCTACAACATGTCGGTCTTTAATAGGCTGAATGACACATTGTTCAAAAGCAAAAGATGTTCATCTCATCTTGGAGTTCAAGGCCAAACTTGAAGAGGTTCATTAACGCCTCTTTCCTTCCTTCCAAAAGACACAAACAACAAAGTCCACCGGCCTGCTATTGCAAAACACACCCTTCACTTCCCGTACTGAGAGGAACCGTCCTCAGGCCGGGAAACAGCTGTTGCCCCGACTTGCACAGGGGTCTTTCATCAGCGGGTGACACAATCTTTGCCTAACAATTGAGGCCCCGGAGTAAAAATCCCTCGTGTACCCCTGATTTAACAGTCTGTGTCCAGTACTATTTTCTCTACGTGTGGGCTTTACCACACACCTGTCCTGAGGGATTCACCGTAAACCAAGAGGCAAAGCAGGGAAGTGCCTTGCTCAGCGAGCTGGGTGCACATCCTGCCTTTCTCGCCCTGCCTATTGTTGAATCATGCACACAGCATTGTCTTTTATTTTCCTTCTGGCTTAATCTGACAGATGAAACCATTATGCTTTCATCTTCGGCCTTCATCACGACAAATGCCTGCATCTACTTGCTATAAAGGGCTTATTAAATTTCCCAACAAGGAGGAAGGAGAGGGCAAAAGTTAGTGACAGGATAAGAACACTATCAAGGCACTCAGAGACCTGGCTCAAGAAAAACTGAATTGCGTCACACATGGCAATGAAAAAATCCTTTCTGATTTTAAACTCTAAAACAATAGTTTCAGCTACAAAGTCATATACTCATCATCACAGATTAAAGACTTGCATTTCTAGTTTCAGGACTGCACTCAGGACAGGCTAATTACCTTGTCATTGTCCAAAGGGTCCTTCTGCACAAATGCCTGAACAAACTCTTCCGGCCCAATATAATTCAGCCGCTCCTGAAACATAAATCCAGCGAGTCGACAGTATTAAAGGAAATGCGAAGTAACGGATAGTCTACTTCCTCGACTGACTTTGGGTACCACCCCCACTTCTTAATGCAGGTTACAAAATAAGCTTTTAATCCAAAATACTTTTATCATCATCAAGATCTCAATAGAGTCAATTTTCTGCTTGGGTCAAGGTTCTACAAGATAATAGAAGACTGTGTGAGTTACAGAAAAATTAATTTCTGACAGAACATGGAGAAAATTCTGTTTTCCAGTCTTGTCTGGTATTTATTTACCAGTAAATTCCCAGCATATCAGAGGCATTCATATTGCAGTGCCTAAACAGACCATGTTTCAGCCGTTGTGTAGATTATTTATCCACCACTTCTGGCAAACACACTGGTTACCAAAACAAACACAATCGTGGCTGCAAAGGGCAAGGATGATAAGGGCCTTACCAGCTCTATGTGAGTCAGCTGCTGGGCCAGCGTGTACGGGTCACTGCAGACAGTGATGATATCCCTCTGGATGGACTGCGGCTTGGTCTTGAGGACCGTGAGCCGGTCTGTGGATGTGGAGCTGATCTTCGCCAAAACTTCCTCATACTGGCTGAGAGCGGCAAGTTTTCGGATGAGACACTGCATCATCTGCTGGACATTCTTCCGGTATGTCTGCTAGGGAACAAGCCAAGCATCACACCCTTGCTCTGTGTGTCTCTGTCAGCACGATGCAACCTCACAGACGATGTCTTGAAATTATCTGGACCTTGACACTGGACAATCAGTTTGTTTGAGGGAACTTACAGGACGATTCAGATAGCTCTAACAATTCAGACACAGACATCAAGTGCCTCTTCAAACCTGTAAAGCCTGGTGCTTTTCTCAGGTTCTGTTGAGAGCACAATTCAGATTGGATCTTCAAACACTACAGCCTTTCAGATTAGCTACTGAGGGCTTCAGTATAACGTGTACTAATCACAATTAAACGTTCACCACTAGAAATGTACCTGTGTACTTCTGCTGAGATAAAATACACCGATCTCAAGTCAGAGAATCCTTTTCCTAACTTTTCGTGAGGGCCACCTTCTTTCTTTCTCCACTCCTATCATTCGCGATCTCCTTAGTGTCTAGGACCCTGGCTCCAAAGGAGGACAGTGCCAGTGAACCCACAGATGAAGGAAAGCCTGTGCTTACACTTCACTGCCTTTTTAAAAGGTACCGCAATACCATCTGCACTTCACCCACAATAGCATTTACCTGCAAGTGTATGTTTTTTCTTTTAACAGAGGCAATTTGGTTTAACAGAGCACCTTAGCAAAAGCAAGAGCTATTCTCATATAAAGAAATTATAACTGGAAATGGTGAATGGTTAATCTAGCTGATGTAGACAAGGATAAAAAGTATACAGATTTCTTCTTTTTTCTGTTCTCTGCTTGTCAGTGTAGTCCAGTGAGTTCTTCAACATGGCCCATTATATGACCTTTATTTTTCCTTTATGTTCACAACCGTCCTAAAATGGTGACATACTTAAGTGTTCTAAAAAAACTGAAGCTTAAAAAAAAAAAAAACAAAAAAAACCCTGATCTTTCACTCAGCAACAGGGTTGCCAGTTTGGAAGATGCTATCTATTTGGTAATGCACATGTTCACTGAGGGGAAATGGCCTATTTCAAATCCTTCATTCCTGTTGGCCTGCCTCCTTTACTTGCATAGCATTGAGCTACATTAAAAACCTATAAGGGTCATGCTGAGGATACAGCTCAGTGGCACAGGCGCCTGCCTCGCAAGCGTGAGGTCCCGAGTTCGATTACTGGTACCAAAAAAAAAAATCTTTGCCAAAAAATAAAAACCTATGAATTTAGGAGGTTTCCTTTAGTCCTGCCCCACACAATAAATGCCTACAAGAGTTATTACTACTTCTTAAAATTATGTAAATATTTCCCAAATGTTCCCCACTAGACAGTAAACGTCTTTTTTGGGACACTTTAGATACAGCATGTACCAGGAAGAGTAGAAAACAAGTTAGAAAGTTGCAGTTTTACATGATTAAATCATATTTATAAGAGTATCCCCCAACTGGCATTAGATGACGACCCTATCGTAGTTTGGTCTGGATAAGGGACTTACATTCTTAAGTCTTTCCAGGTAAATTCTGCATTATTTGCATAAAAATGTATTTATTTGCTTCCAACAGAATGGTCTGTAAAAAGAAAAGCTATGGCCCCACCATATTTTGGGCTACTGTGCAACAGGTAAAACAAGACACAGCTCCCAGCACTGACCCAGAAAGATCCCTAGACATGTCACTGAGTGTAAAAAGGGTGAAGAACACCAGGTATGTGCACACATCCATGCACACATGCACGCATGTACACACTATTGACACTACTTCTGTGGATGTATCTGTCCACGGATCCTTACACATGAGAAGATTCTGTGAGGATACGCACAACACTGACACCCACTGTTACTTTCAACAGAGAGGGTTGGTCTACCTTTTGTGAGGAAAAAACTGAACAATCAAAATGTCTCCCTGTATCACTTGATTTATTGGAAATTAAAATTTGAAGTGGGAGTTCGTGAATAACAGGTGAGATATACAAGAAAGTTATTTTTGCTCAGAAAACCCACAAAGAACTCATTTAAAAACGCCCATTCTTTGATATCTCAGCAGCTGTTCCATGTGAGTTCTCAACCCTAAGTCATTCCCCACCCCCACTCCCAGGTGCCCCATAGAAAACATTCAGTCAGAAATGACTACAGTTTACCCTCAGGTCACCACCTGAGGGAACCAGCTGAGGACCAATGCCTGCAAGAAACAGTGGACCAGAGACAGCGCTACCCCAGAAAGTCCCACTGAACTGGTGAGTGTGATGGAAACGCTCCCCAGATGACTTGAGCACACAGCAACACATGAGAACCAATGTTCTGCTAGTACCTTTGGTAAAAGTTTTACTCTGCCTTTAAGGGAAGCTTTCTTAGCAAAGAGGTAGAGGAATTATACAGTCAGATTACTGGTGAGTAAAAGGCAGCAAAATATATAGGGAAATGTACACAATTGAGTATAAGAAAAAAGCTATTCAAACTGTGTGTGTGAGTGTGAGAGAGAGAGAGAGACAGAGAGACAGAGACAGAGAGAACAGGGGAAATATGCATGTGACCTCCTTCACAAGCTTCCTGCTTCCATTTGATTCCCTTAGAGAACTCAACCTCTGTGTTGTTAAGCATGCTTTCTCACTGAGTCATGAATTGCCAAATATGTACTTATTCTTTTTTATAACTTCAAATGCCAGAGACAGTAATTACCTGGCAAATAAAGATAGTTCTTACTATAAAGACCAGCCCCTTAAGGAAGAGAAAATTGCCTTCTACCCACTCTAGTCATTTGTCATGTAATTCAATCATTAGTTTCATTTCATGTTTCTTGAGGGCAGGTTCTAATAAACCACTTCATTTTAGGCAAATCCCCAGGGGAGAAACATATTAAGCCAAATTACGTGAAACTCTCTCGGCAGATTCGGGAGAGCCTGACTGAATTATATCCAGGGCACACCTGGCTTCATTAGCTGCCAAAAAAATCCCCTGAAGGCAGAGGCAAGAAGCAACAAGTTGCAACTGAAACCCATGCTCCTTCCTGTGGAGGGGAAGAATGTCATCCTACTGTAGTAGCTGATTTTCCCATTCATTCATTCATTCATTCATTCATTCATTCATTCATTCATTCGTTTGTTCGTTCATTCAACACTACTGAGAGCCTATTAAGATGTCAGGTGCTTGGGAATGAAAGATGCAGTGAGCAGACGGCCCAGCATGGGCAGGGGTGAAACAGCCAAGTACTTAGGAATCACAGGGTGCTATGAAGTGCTAGAAAGGGTGGCGAAAGCTGAGGAAGGGAACGGGATGTGATCACAGCTTGGTGACAGGACAAGGTCTCTCTGAGAGGCATTTAACACGTGTGACAGCTAAGGAGCCTGGCAAGCAAAGAACTGGGAAAAGGGCACCCATCACACAATTCTAGAGCCAGAGGGACATTAACCCAGGGCAGTTAACACTATGACTTACAGAGATGAGAAAAGCAGGAAATTAGGGAACACGCCAAAGCACCCTCCGATCAACCAGCTGCTAAGTGCGGACCCGACTTCTGAGCAGTGGATAAAAGCAACCAAAGAAACAGCAACTTCTTGGGCAGCCCAGGTCCACCAAGGCTGCTGGCTGCTTCACAAACTCCCAGTTCAGCCAGCTCCTCCTCAGTTAGATTCTGCTGATTGTCTCCTCTGTTCTCAAGATCAAAGCCAGCTGAATGCCCAAAGGTTTAAGAACATGTTCTTAACACAAGAATACTGGCAAAAAGCCATGACGAGAAGGCCGTCTGGCCCTTTTCTCAGTTCTACCCAACTCTGGCGTGGCTGGGTCTTGGTTTAGGATAAGACCAGATCTCCTTTGACCACAGAAATGATGTTCCTCTTTCACTCCCCATGACAAAACCAACCAAAAGCCATCCATCAGGCATTTTCAGAACACTAACATTTTATCTTAAAAAGGTTTTAAAGGTGTTCCTTTTGGGAAGAATCATAATTTCTAAGTTTTAAGAAAGCCATAGAAATGATGGCATACATCTGTAATCACACCACTCAAGGAGGCTGAGGCATGAAGATCACAAGTAAAAACCTACCCTGGGTAACTTAGTGAGATCCTGTCTTAAAAAAACAGAAGGGCTGTGAATGTGGCTCAATGTGGAGGCTCTGGGTTCAAGCCTCAGTCCCACAAACACATACACACACAGGCAGTGCAGGGAAGACATGCTAACTGATACATAAAGTTAATACAACCTCAAGGAAAGGAAGAACCAGCTGACTCAAGTCTCAGTCCTCCTGTAAGAAAAGGCCCTACGATGCCACTAATCTTTTGAGCAGCTTGTCATACAGCGAGATCACTGAGCCAGCATGGACTCTGCCAAGCAGACCCACAGCTAATCCCTCTGACGAAAGATTTACTACCACACTGCCCTGGCGTTGCTTTGCTTTTGCCTGTGTGAGTGAGGGACCTATCGATTCGAACCTGGCAGAACCTGAAGTAGGCAAAGCTGGCAAAATGATTACAACCGTCATAACTTGCAGAATGACTCAGGAAATGACTCACTCAGCCTTGCCGAAATAATGGCTGTCTGGAGCACCTGGGCTCAATGTAATGTCATAAAGTAACAGTAAAAGGGTTTATTCCAGCTTCACGACTAGAACATAAGCCAGAAATGCTAAGCACAGAGTTTTCAAGTAATCATCTTATATACTTTTAGTCTGAGCTCTTTTTCAATTGGAGGAACGGCATTAAAACGCATCCATAAGAATTAGATCAGTGTCTCGTTACGCTATCTTTCCAGCAAACACTGAAAGGTGAACTGTCCAGAAAGGTTATGCGCAAAGGGAAAATGCATTCCCAGACAAATGAAACGAGACATCACTACAGCTGCTACATGTTTCACCTGCCTGTTTCTGTGTGCCAATGTTGTACCTGTGCTGAAGGAACTTGTGCTCAGAAACTTATCAGCAACACAGAAACTACAAAGGCATCCTGGCCCAGCAGGCCTCAACACGGAATACCAGCCCTCCAGGCCTGCTTCAAAGAGGATAACCCTCCACCTGTCACAGCGAGTTAGCGCTTATCAAAGGCTCAATTGAGGGAAGCGGTATTTATGGAAAATTATCTCAGAGACTTACTTCCAATCTCTACCTATTCTAGGCCCTAGCCTTGAATCAACTTCCGGCACTAGAAGACTTGGCTTGTTTTCTGTCTTCTCCGCCAAAGAATTACCTCTGCTAATTTACACACTAATCCATGCTCTGTTCTACCAAAGAGTTGTAAACCCTGTTTAAAAAAAAACAAAGAACTCACTCTATGTCTCCTATATAAAAATCCCTTACAAGAAAGTTTTTCTTTACTCCTTTGCAGTGCTGGGGACTGAAGCCAGGGCCACGCACATGCAAGACATGTGCTCTTAACACTGAGCTACATCCTCAGCCCTAACTTTCTAAATTCTTCATCTCATGCCTTGAAGGCTTAGCATGCTTCCCTGCCCTAACAATATTATATAACCGACTGTATTTCCCTTTTACCTGGAACTTGAACTCCAACTATAGCAATCTTTTCCACCTCTACTGGTTTTCAACCCTCACTGCATGGTACAGATTGACTATTTCTACTTATTATTTATTAATATGCTACTCATTAACTTATATTGCTTACTTTAAATCTATTAGTGCTTCTTAATATGCTACTTATCTCACTGGCTCTGTCAAAGCTTTTCGGAAGGCAGAAAGATAAAAGTAAAGTAAAAACGAGACACACTGGCAACATAAGCTCTGCGCGTGCGTTGACATGAACATACCCCCCAATTAATCACATAACACTCCAAATCATTTTCTTTTGAAGTAGGAGGGAAGGATCACCCCCGCTTGGCTAACCCAAAAGACCGATGTGTCTAGACAGAGTACACCAAAGGCAAAATGGAAGCAAAGAACTGAGATTCTGAAGGTTAAATCAGTACCATTTCCCACCCAGGTGATGTCTGGGAATTCAGTGGCCATGACTGATTCAAGTTACCAACCTCCTCGCCACTGGCTATTCTGTGAGCCAAATCCTTTAAGTTTCTCATCATTCTTTCATCCCGAAAGTCATAAGGAAATGTTTCCGTCCATTCTGTCAAGAGTTGAAGAATTTTAGGTGCAATTTTTCTCATCTGGTTCTAAGGAGAAAATAAAAACAAATTTAACCAGGTGATTGTCTGTCACCAGGGACCACAGCAAACAAGTAACTACTGTGTCACTGATTAACTTTTAGGGCAAAGTCTTTGGAATTGAAGAAACAGCTCTTGGCCTCCACCCCACATCAGTGCATTGTGAAACGAACTTATAGCAAGAGCTAGGATCTTCCAAGACATTCGATTTACAGTGTGTTCTTTGTACTATTCCCAGTTCCCTATTCACAGCCATGACGGCATTTATGCACATCAGCCGGAGCATAACTTAGGGTTACTTAGGGAAACCAACCCCACAAAATCTAGCCTGCTCAGTCAACCTAACCAAAAAACTGTCAGGTTCAAAATGCCGCATTACCTTATCACCATCAGGATCGCTTAGCCTCTGGTGCTCCACACATAAGTGGCAAACTTTGCCCATTAGTTCATAGGGATGCATGAATAACCGTGAACTGAGTAGGAAGGTAAATATGTATGTTCTCTGTGACAAGAAAAAAAAGGTCATCATTGTTACATTCACTCTGAATTTGATATCTGTCCTATATATTAGACATCTTTTTTCATGAAGTTTTCCTGATGAAAGTTAACATGCTGCAGCTTGAAACATAACGCCTTCCAGCAGTGAAACAGCATGAAGATGGATTTCCTCTCTACTTTCAGAGGCATCGTCTCCTTAAACCATAGCACAAATAACAGAAGTACAGGATAAGCTTAGTTCCTGAACTTATTGAGAGAACATTTTCACACCTACCCTCTGGGAGCCAAGATACCAGGACACCTAACTCAAGTTAGTAAAGAGGAATGAAATTCAGCTGAGAGGGAAATCTAACTTAAATGTACCACCCATACAGGATCTGGTTTTGTGTCCAAATATTATGGTAACTCAATGAAAATCCCAAACAAAACAGAAAGCAAACAATCCAATAAACCTTGCTCATCCTACCCACATTCAGCTCAGGAATTCCCCTGTGTTTTCAGCATGGCACACTCAAGAGTTATGTCAACAGTATTCAAAGGAAGGCTTTCAAGTAACCTATTTACTTGCTCAAGGGCTAAGCAATTTGATAAAGCACAGTATAACACTATATACTTTTCTTTAACCACACTGTCTCCCCAGAAGTCAGCAATGAAGTATGCTTATTTGTTGTAATAGTTTCAGACTCCCATGAAAAGAAATATTCCATGGGCTTAGTGCCCTCCCCACAGGCGCCTTTAGTAGCTCATAAACATTTACAGGGCTAAACAAGGGATCCCTTTTACTTTTGATTACAAGTCTTCCCTGTGTGGTAATATATTTGAAAATGCTATGTAACAAATCGCACACAGAGAGATAACTTAGTAAGAAACACTATGGTGAATTACAGTGGCAAGCACAAACTACCCTTTCCCTGCCAAGGTTCTTACTATGTTTATAAGAACGAATGAATGTGGTCTCTAGATATTTTCATGAAATCTCCATCAATAACCAGCTGCTCAGTAATTCTCATTGCTCTACAAAACTCAACTCCACAGAGACAGCGGCAGCACAAGAGAAGAGGGAAAACCCATTTGTCCCAGAAAGGAAACCTGTGTTACATTACTGATGCTAGTAGTGGGACCATGAGCAAATACTCAGTACTGGTACCCTTCAGTTTTCTCCCCTCTGCCCTCTTGTAATTATTATCAACATTGAGATCATGTATAATGAATTTCCTAGATCAAAAAATACCATGTATATGAATGAAAGTTACCCAGATAAAACAATAGCAAACATATCCTCTGATGTCCAACCTACAAAGTACTGTGTCTTATGTATAAATTTTCTTCTCTCTTCCATTTACCTTCCTCAATTGCATTCAGTTTTCTCAGCATAAGGATGTACTTAGGAAAAATGCATCAACTCTCCTATTTGGGGAGAATCCAGTGGTCTCTAGCATTTTTATTTCAAGACCAAGGTACATGCACACATCAACCCTACACATACTTTATTCAGATGCTCTCAGACTGCAGGCATATGGTACCTAACCCAAAAAGAAACTGATGTGGAGACTACACCAAAACCAGACTCAATGTCATCTCAAAGCATTCAATAATCAATATGCAATTTCTTATTTGAAAAATTCTTAGCAACCCCAATACATTTCTATAGTATGCAGGGTCCCAGTATTTAATTTCTGCTCAATCCCAAGGATGAGTTTCAGAGAAACATGAACACGTACATCTGGGTAGTAATCCACATTAGGTACCAAGTGCTGGATAAGTGCTTCCAGAGAGCCGGAGAGGAGGTTGTTGTCATGGTAATACAGCCCTCCGCAGCTGTCCTCTGCAGACTGATAGAGGTTCCGGTTGTAACCGCTGCTGTCAAACATTGCTGAGAAGGGAGGAGTCTGAGGCATGCTTTCCTAAGAGAAATAAAAGAGGAAACATGGTGTCATGAACACACAATACGAAAAGAAAGTAAGCTTTAATAGACACTGAACTTTCATGAGAATGAGCGAAAGGGCAGTTTAAAAGAAAGATTCCAGGGGCCAGGGATATAGCTCAGTGGCACAAGCACCTGCCTGGCAAGCGTGAGGTCCTGAGTTCAATTCCTGGTACCAAAAAAAGAAAAGAAACATTCCAGCAATATCAGCGCCCAAGAAGAGCCAAGCGTCCAAGTACTGCACGTATGCACACATTTAACCTCGTTCGTTCAGGTCCACAGAATGCTTACTTGGATTCAGTGTGGATTTCAGTTCAAGGCTCTGCTGCCAAGCTGCTCCTCTGCATGCAGTTGGGAAGGAGGGAGGAGAGCTGAGCTTTGACTGTTTTATCCCACTAAGTCGCATTTTCCTGAGGTGGAAGTGTCTCCGTCTTCCCATTTTGCTGGACCCATTACATAACAAGTAAGAGACACCTGATCAGCATGGGAAACACGGGAGGCAACTAAAACTGACAGCAAAAAAACTGCTTGGAAACGAAGACTAGAATTAAAGTGCACTCTGTGTGTGTGTGTGTGTGTGTGTGTGTGTGTGTGTGTATGTATGTGTGAGTATAAGAGACAATGCTGACTCCCCCTGAGTTTACTGGAGGATCAGATGCTGTTTATTTTCACCCCTTTGTGTCAAATTCTCAGTTCCAGGGCAAGAGGGGTGTGTATGCAGCCTGTGTTTGCAGTAAACATGCAGCCGAGAAGGCACCTGATTGGAACAAGAAGTACTGAGACAGTTGTGAGATAAGTTCTTCTCCATCTGTGTGCTCTGTGGCACACAAAGCCCTGTCAGAGGGACTTGGGAGAGGCCAGAGGCTACGAAGTTATTACTTGGACTTCTAGGGACAGAGCGCCTGCCCTGTGCACAGATCAGGGGTTCTGGAAGCAGACAGGGACAACGGAGGCATTCAAGAGCTGTCCAGACCAGGGACGTCAGCAAGCAAACAATGAGGGGCAGCCCAACTCCTGGGTCTGGACTGACACAGCCAGGGTGTGGAGGGCCCAGGAGGATACAACCTGGGCTAATCCCTCTTTTCAAGATACCACAAAGATATTTGCATCCAAATAGGGGTGGGATGTGAAGCTGTGTCTAAGAAGTCATATCCGTCACTCCACATGTCACTCCATGCGCATCTGTTCCTGCCATGTCCAGACGGGGGGCACAGAGCATCCCAGTGTGTATGCGCCTTCACAGGAGGGGACAGGGCCTCAGCAGTAGGGACAAAACACCACTACAAAGCCAGCTGGCAGTGAACACAGCATTTAAGCTCCAGTGAATAACTAGGAAAAAACTCTTCATGTTTGTGCACCCTATCCCATCCATAAACCGGTACTGAAGGAGAATTTAAAAGGATCTCATTTAAAAAAAGTAGTCACAAATGGGAAGAAAGCAATTGATGAGAACCACCTTCTCCAGGGGGTCTGTCACTACCAGGGCCACTGTGGCTGTGTCCGTAGCTTAGGCAGGACATGGCCAGAAGAGCCAAAGGACGGGGGCTGTGGGATATAATGTTACCACAAGTGCTCCACATACCCGTCTAGCTGGTAAGACCTCACACGGCAACTGTGATTAAATAAACAGCTCAATGTTAGTATCTTATGAGGCAATGGACAAAGCGTATTTCTTTCCTCTTGTAATCGCCAACTTTCATGATTACGATTCATAAGCAGTGTAATTATTTCACATGAGGCGTCTTTGGTGAGAAGAAAAACAGCCAATCTACCCTTGTCCTGAGAAACTCAGAATGTTTTCACTGGGAGGCCTGGACCTGAGATGGGAGGCCCTGCTCAGGCACACTTCTCGTAACTTTGAGGGACTCTTGGGTCTGGACCTAGTTATTTGTGCTTAGAAAATCCTCCATGTATAGATGAGGAGTAGAGCTCTTGAAGTTGGATTTTGTTTTTTTCTATGAGGGACCTTGAATTTTCCTTGATAGCTTTTTACTCGCTATTATTGAAACCAATGTAATAAAGTAGTTTGGGAAGGGAGGGTTCGGCTAGGACTTGGGGACTCCAGAAAATCAGACAGGACGACAAACATCCAAAGGGCCATAGAAATCATCTGGTCTCAGATACAGAAAATAGGTTTCATTTCACTTTCCAAGTCCAATCAACCAGAAGTGACTGTCTAGTGGCCCGAGGGTGAGTGGGGCCCAGCTGGAGGCTATGACTCGAGAGAATGTGTATCCACAGTGACACGAAGGCTTCCAGGCAGCCACGGAAACCACAGTCCACAGGCTGTGCCATCGCTGCCAGGCCCAAATTCCTCTCTCCCTACAGATAGCAAACCGAGACCCAGGGAGGCGAACTGAGACACCAACTAACATGCTACCACCAAGTGCTCCAGCACAGCGTGAGTGAGCTGGGCGGCACTCCCGAGTCTTGGACCTTGCTCACCTTGCTCGTTGGGCTCATTGGCGGCCGCACTAGGGCCAAACTCCCAGGACACTCAGACCCAGGAATCAGCACCACAAACCAAGCCCATGTATTTGTTAACTATTAACTCCTGGAGTGCAGACCAGAACTCAGCTCTGGAGAGGAATTCAGGTTCAATGGTTTCTCTTATACAAGAAACTCAAAGTAGAAAGAAAGAGCAAAACATAGAACAGACAACAGGAAACCGGGAAGGAGGTCTTTTGCAAGTGGGAAGAGAACCAGGAGACGCTGGGGGGCGGGAGGGGAGGAAGTGAGAGGGGATATAAAAAGAATTAAGTTACAACATACACACACATCAACTGTCTACAGTGCATGTGCTCATTAGGCACTGCAAACATTTACTAAAAAAAGAATTCAGATTTAATGACGTCCTAATTGTGGCACTGAGAGCTGTGAAACGTTCATTACCTCCCACTCCCACCCTGCCCCATTATTTTCAGTTGTACCTGCTCCTTTCAAAGCCTTAAATTGGAAAAGAAAAAAAAAAATAACTACCTATCTTCTTTACAGTGACACTCTTAACATTACTAGAGTCGTGGCAAAGGCTTTCCCATATTGTTCTTTGGGCACGTGTCGCTCACAAGGTCTCTTGAGGAGGTACATACTACCAGCACTTAGAAGCCTCCCTCCAGGGTGGCACTGAAAGAAGGAACTTCAAATATTGGTGGAAATCAAACTAGGATAAATTAATTGTACTGACTATGCCTAAAAATCAATAGTCCGAGGAGAGCAGGTCACCGGCCTTCGAGTCAGCTCAAGGAGGCGCTGGTCAAGAGCCACCCTCACTGCTGACCCCGCACACAGCAGCAGCCAGCCGCTGAGCCCCACGTCACTCCAGAAACCTCAGCCCTCACTTGTGCAGTGTGGACACTTTTTTCCACCTTGCTGTGTGCTCAAGTTCAAGTTAGTGTCTTTCTCATTCCTCACACCTTTCCTTCATTGGCGGAATTCTCACACTGGCTGGGATCTTCTGCACTGCAAAACGTCTGCACCTCCCACCAGCCTTTATTTCTCTCAATTCCCCCTCACAGGCGATGTCTCTCTGGAGACCTGGAGGGTGGTAGCTCTGAGAACTTTATTGGCTTCTGTTTGTTTCACAGTTTACTACACTGGCTGCAGGTACCTTTGTGGACGCCGCAACCACTCCCTCTGACAAAGCCTCCTCGTCCTTCTTTGACTGCTTTGTACAAAGCGAAGGCTCAGAAAACTATACCCACTTGGGGCTATGCTCTGAGGGACAGAGAGGGTAGAGTTTCACACCTAGGTCTTCAGATTCCAAGTCAGAGATTTATTACACTACTCATATTATACTGCAAATGGGCTTCCTTGAACTTCTAAGGTTGAGTCACAAAAATGAAAAACCTTTCCCAAATTGCTGGCTATTAGAATAATTTATACGTTTTATGTGCTCTACATAAATCCTTGCTCCAAAGTTGTATTAATACCATTATTACTCTTATTAAAAAGGCACACTGTCAACAGCAGCATGTAAGCCACTGACCTTTGCCATCAAAGCACAGTCCCATTCAGACAGACATCAGTGATGTCATATGTCTGAGTATCTTTAAAACTGAAATGTATGTAAACAGTCAAATAATAAGAAAACATGTTTAACTGACCATCTTCTTTTGAGCAATACATTAAATAACAGAGCATCTTACAATGGATGGCCTCTTGGAGACTACGAAATGCAGTATTTCCTTGTATTAATGTCATAGATTTCTGGGAAAAAATTGAGACAAATGACCAAAAGAAAGATCATGAGTCACAGTCCCCATAGCTCATTTCTGGACCATCTCTAACCAGTGGCCAGTCTGGTCATTTTCTGAAGAATTAACTGTCCGTGTAACAAGTAAAATGAGGCAACGTCAGCAGAATGATATAGCAAGTCCTGCTTAGGAAACTTGATTTTCAGTAGCTCAGAAGATAGACATAGGTGTTGTTTTCTCGCAAGTAGCTTCCCCTTTATTACCCATATCACGAGCTACAGTTTGTTCGGTATTGCTGATTCACTGTCCAGGTCTCCAGTTTTGGCTGGTTCAGTTCTGGAACTGAAAAGTAAGGTCCAGGCTGGCGCAGGTCTGTAATCCCAGCACTCTGGAAGGGCAAGGCAGGGGAACTGAACACTCAAGTCCAGCCTGGGTAACTGAGGGAGATCCTGTCTCTAAACACTTAAAGTAAAAATGTCTGTAGATATCACTCAGTACAAAGGCACTGGGTTCAATTCCCAGTACCCGGGAAGAGAGAAAGGAAAAGAAGAAAGGAGGACAAGAGAGGAGCTCAGAAGGGAGGGGAGCGCAGGTGGGGAGATAGTGAACCTTAAAAGGTTAAATGTTGGCTTACTTCTTATTAGGATAATAAATCCAACACACAAGCTACAAAACATGAGAATCTACAGAGGTGTTTCTCTCTGGGCTCCACAAACTCTGGAAATCACCTACTAACGATTTCTCCAGGGGATCAAGGTGCATGTGAGGGTGCTCGTAACCTTTAGCT